CCCCCCCAAGTACACGGAAGCAGCCCCGACACGGGGGGAGAGGAGTGTAGAGAGGAGAGGCACTTGTGTGCCACACTGCCACACTCCAGGGTGCCTCAGAAAGGGGAAGGGTGTCCTATGCACGACATGCGAGAAATACAAGAAAGGCCTTCAGATGGCCGGAAATGGCCGGAAACCATGTATTAACATGTATTAAAAAGCCGCCCAGAAATTTTTGGTTTCCCAGTCACTTTAAGTTTGCTTTTCAGTCTGCTCCTCGGGTCGTGCTCGTCTGGACTCGACTCGGCTCGGCTCGGCTCGGCTCGGGGTTCGGCTCGGGCTGGCTCGGGCTGGCTCGTCTCCGGAGCGGGATACGTCCCTCTGGGATTTGTTATAGTGGGGGCCTCCGCGACTTTCCGATAGACCAAAACATCGGCCAGTAATTCCGTCGTAAAAGGTTGTTGTTGTTGGGGGAGGACCGGCGGCGGCGGGGTGCGGGCTCTGCTTCCCTTTCGGTATGGAGTCCGACGGGGAAGGGAGGGGAGACAAATGAGGGGGTAGGGAGGGGTAATAGACAAGCGAGTGCGGCCGGAATGGCCGTGTGGGCACAAAGTCGAAGAAATTAAACGAGAAGAGAGGCGATAGTGGCAATAGGAGGAAGCGGCGAGGCAGCAACAGGGTGCCGGCGCGCGTGTGTGTGTAGGCGCGTTGATTGGGGCGTTAATGGGCACGTAGACAGAAGAATAGCCAAAGGCTGCTCCTTTAATGGACATTTGCAGTTAAGAAAGTGAGCAGCAGCAAGCCAGGGGAGCAATGCGCGCGCAGAAAGGCAAAAATTAAAAAAAAAAAAAGAAAAAAGAAAAAACTTTTTTGACGCGTGCCCTTGCCCTACTTGCGAAAACCTCAATCATTTCCGTTTTTAGTTCCGAATAAAACAGGCTAAGTTGCTTTGCTTTTTTGATTACAAAAAAAAGTCGACACCGCAAAAAAAAATCACCCTACAATTTGCAGTAAAAAAATTGCAGGGTTACAATGTTAAACTTACAAATTGACAGTTTCAAACTGTAAATAGCTTTTGTCTGATACACTGAAAAATTTTCAAGTTTTGCAAGGGGCCGGAAATGCACCGATCGAGATGAAGGATACCTTTTTTTTAGGTGCACCTGCACATCCTCGGACCTCCGTCGTAGAGGGAATATCTGGGGTTTAAGTCCTTTTCTTGCAGTATCTGAGTGTCGCTATCAGTCGCTATCAGTCGCTATCAGTCGCTATCGCCGCGAGTCGCAGCGGGACGCTCAGTCGCGCACAGTGCGACTCGGCCGCCCGGTGGGACCAGCCGCACCACCGCCGCCGCCGCCATGGACTGCGACATCTGCCTCGAGGACTTCAACCAGGCGGAGCGCGTGCCCAAGATGGGTCCGTGCGGGCACACCGTGTGTCTGCGGTGCCTGGAGCAGGGCGACATGAAGGCGTGCCCGACGTGCCACACGGTGAGTTTGGCAGTCAGCACGGACTTTAATCTCTCCACACACTCAACGCTGAAACCTCTTTTGTGTGGCTATGTATATGGGTAGCTTCTAAAACCCCGTTTGTAGGCTTTCGATGTCGCCCTGGATGCACTGCCGAACAACTTGTACCTCCTGGAGCAGATGGAGCGGCGCCCAGAGAGGTGAGCGCTATATATAGGACTGTTCTCATGACAGAGCCGCCCACCAAGGGGCCCTTAACTTTAAAAAATCGGTGTACACCCATAGAAAAAATTAAGAAAAAATCACAAAAAATCAACGAAAAGTCATTTAAAAAATCAGGAAAAACCACAATAAATCGTGAAAAAAACATCAAGAAAAACAGAAAAATTTGTGTACGCTAGAATTTATAGTGAAGGACCCCTCGCCGCCGACAGCCGCACCCGCACCTGACTGTCTTTGAGTCACCAACTGCTCTTGCTTCGACAGGCCGTCCCGCGGCTGGTGCTCGGACTGCCGCGCCGCCGCCGAGCCACGCTGCCGGAGAGAGAAGCACAACGTCGTGTGCGAGAAGAGGGAACTGAAGCGCCTCCTGCAGGGTGCGCTGCAGCAGGCGGCCGAGCAGCTGGAACACCTGCCCGACCTCTGTGAGGGGGAGCAAGACCTTCAGACACTCGACCTGCTCAATGCAGAGTCCTGGAGCGTGACGCTGCAGGGCGGGGGCCACCAGATGACGGGCACCGTGACCAACACGGACGACCCCCTCAGCCGGCTCATGTGGCTGCTTGCGAAGGCCGCTCTCGAAAAGGTATGCATGCGGTGGCATTCGGCTACTAGGGTGACACAGGATAAGTTTAAAAAAAAAGATGCTTTTGGTGATGATCAAGTGGGTAAAGCCTTAAATATCCAGGCGATGATAGCAACAATTTACCTTTTCTTACTTAATAAAACTACACTATATAATTTAATTTTTCATGTCACTCGTCCCTAAATCAAAGCGCATCAAAGATAAACACCCGGTACAGTCGGTCCGTAACTATCCAAGCGGACCCACTACAATCTTCTCAGTCCATGTCTTAACCTCGGTCTAACTTTCGGTTGTTGCAGAATCAGGTTGAGGCCCGAGATCCCCGGACTGCCACCGCAACCCTTTCGCTGGCAACCCCGGGCCAAGCACCTCTGGAGGGGCGGCCGGTGCGGAAGACCCGACCCACTGACCGGCAGCAGGACAAGGCGCCGGGGGTGAGTGAGAATGCAGCCGGACCCGCACGGCGCCAGGGCATCGTAACGTATATTAGGACGCTAAAAAGACGAGAAATAGTTGTAAACTTTTCAAGAGCGCTTTTGAAGCGCTTTAGATTTCGAAACGTCGTTTTGTATAGAAAACGCTAACTGATGAAGAAAACGCGCGAAAACGCGTCAATGAAGCTTGAAAGGTTGATTTTTTATTTTTTTTAAGGGTTTCTATTACGACGCCTTACCGGCAACCAGCTGTGGCTCAGTCTCTCACGCCACCAGCCACCATGCCCACCCAGAACATGGTCGGCAGCCCGTTTACAGCCCCTGAGGGTGACTCTGCTCTGCCGCAGGTGACCCGGCTGGTCAATGTGTGGTGCGACAAGGACCCCGCCAGGAGCCTCCGGCTGCTGCAGCGCGCCGCGCCCACGGTGGAGCGGCTGCGGGTGCGTTTTCCCCGCGAGGACCACCTGTCCGTGGTGCACGCCATGCCGCGGCTGAGGAGGCTGTACGTGTGGGGTGTCGATGCCCCGGACGCTCAGCCCCCCGAGCTGCCCGCGCTGCCGGCGGGACGCGCCGGCCTGCAGCGGCTCAGGGTGCACTACCTCCCCCGCGCCACGACACAGTCCCTGCTGCGGGCGCACGGCGGCACGCTGGAGGAGCTGGAGTTGCAGGTGGGCACGGCGGGGAGTGGACGGTGGCCAGACTGCTGCGGCGACCTGCACTCGCTACTGCAGCAGAGCGGGCTGCGGGCGCTCAGGAGGCTCGTGCTGATGAGGTACTGCTGCAGCCACGAGGCAGCCGCCTGCAGCGAGCAGCGCGCCAGGGCGCGGCAGGTGCTGCACGGGTCCGAGGTGCTGTGCGACGAGTGTGACACTGTGATCCTAGAAGACAACTAGAGGCGCACGCTGCAAGGGAACGGCCGTCATTTTGGAGAGTGAACGAACTCGTTCACCAACAAGCGAGCGAATGGTTGGTTGCACATCCATGCCACAATGCCACAGTCAATCTACAAAAGTGTGGCGTTATTTGAAATTGAAAAGAAACAATGCAGAAATTCTGAAACGTTGAAAAGGCCTTTCTTTATAAAGAAACTCTTATAATCTCACACTACATTTTAAGAATAAATAATTATTGAGGATGCATGCTAGTACCACTTTTATATATTTTGCAGATGATACATTTTGAACACAACTAAAACTAATAAGATATGACATGGTAAATGTGTGACTGCCTCATGCAGCGGCGCCGAGCGGCGGCGTGCAGGGAGGCACAAGGCGTGATAGGGATGTCGCCGTCCTGTCCGCCCGTCGTCCCATACCACACACGTCTCCGCTTCGGCTCGGCCGAGAAACGCGCGGCGCGGTAATTTAAACTCGAAATACCAAGAATGTAGAGACAGAACTAAACGAATGGAGAAATGTTACTTGCAAACTATGTCTTCTCGAGAAGCATCACTCGCACACTGTCTCTGCACCCTTCCTTACATTCACTTTGTCTAAGACCCTTTCACTCATTTCTGGTCCCTATGATTTAACATGGGAGCGTGACCACATTGTTGTCATGCCGCAGGGAACGAGTTAAAACATTACAAAAGGATAGGAGGAAAATAGGAACCCAACCCATATTTTTATGTATAGATACGCATTTAACTTTAAATAAAGACTTGTACATTATCTAAATATTTGTGCAAGTAATGCGTCCCGTTACTTCCCTACTAGACAAGAATAGAATTCTTAAATTTGTATCATATGCTTTCACAATCCGTTCGAAGACGCAACTTTTTCTTATTTTTTTCGTCTTATAACGTCGAGGGCTAGATAAGGGCGGAATTACGTCGAAAGAATGAATCGCTCCCGCCTAGGGGTGCTGCGCTCTACCCCGCCCCGCCCCGCGGGCACACAACGTAAGGCGTGAGCAGCGTGTCAAGGAGGGGAGGGGAGCGCGGCGGCACCACTCATGTTCCCGAGATTGATCTAATTAACAAGTTAAGAAGCCTGCGTATAACGGGAAGGTGAGGAGGAGAAGAAGGGGCGAGAGAGAGAGGGGGCGGCAGAGCGAGGAAGATGCGGAGGCACGCCGCGCCACCCGCGGGGCACAGGCGGCTGCCGGCTGACAGTGCAGGGCACTGCGTGCGTACGGCACCTCAAGGGGCACCTTACCTTGCGGGACACCTTGCGAGACACATCGCTGGACTCATAGCGAGATCAGACACCTGACGAGACACCTGGCGAGACAAGTTGCAGGGCACCTTGGGAGGCACCTTGGGAGGCACCTTGGGAGGCACCTTGGGAGGCACCTTGGGAGGCACCTTGGGAGGCACCTTG